AGTTAGTGTGGTTAACTGCTAGCTTTGTATACATAAATATTGAACTCATCCATTCAAAAAGCTGAGAGCTGACTCTACCAACTGAGCTAGTCCCAGCCAGGCTTATCACACTTTAATTTATTAATCAAGATGCATAAATTAATGTAAACATTTATGTTAATAATTAAATCGATATTTTAATTAATCACTAAATTAATAATTTGATTGGATCCACTCATTTATTTATTTATTTTTTCACTCATTTATTTTTATGTTTATGGTCATTTATGTGCCATGGCATGCATGTGGAGACCTGACTTGACCACTGAGGTAGATCCCCATCAGGGCTTATCAAAGTTTTGTTCTATTTATTTATTTGTATTTAGTTATGCATGTGCGTGGTCATGCACGTGGAGGTCAGAGAACAACTTGCATGCATCAGTTCTTGCCTTCAGTATGTGGATCTTGGAATCCTATTTTTTTTTTTTTTTTTTTGTAAAAGTTTTGTTAAAAGTTTGCTCACACAATGCCTTTGGTCTTTCTTTGTGGTTGGTTTTTGTTTGTTTGTTTGTTCCTGTTTGTTTGTTTGTCTTGGCAGGGTCTCAGATTCACCATGTGGTCAGCAGTGACTGATTTTCTGATGTCCTGCTCCCACCCCCTGAGTGCTATTACCATCCCCAGGTTCTGCACTGCTGGCATGGAACCCAGGCTTCCTGTGCTAGGCAAGTGCCCTACCAACGTAGTCACAGTCCTGCTAGCACGTGGTCTTTTACAACTGTTAAATAGTCTATCACAGGAATGTGTTATAGCTTGGTCATCTTCTGAGTGGGCATTTTTAACTACCATAAATAACACCGAAAAGAACCATGTGATGATACATGTAGTAATTGCATTGATTATCCTTTTTATATTTTTTTTGGCAGAAATGACTGGTTGTCAAATTATTCACTGGCTCCATGGATGTAAACACTTCAAAGACTTCTATACATAATGCCAAATGTCTGACTCCCAGACCAACTGAGTATTTGTAAGGACTTGCTCCCCGCTCACATCTTGCAAGAATTACTATCAGTAATTATACCTTGTACACATCTCACTGTTACTACCACGTCAACTTCCTATAATTAAAAAAAATTCAGAGCTGAGGTCTAGCTCAGTGGCAAAGTGCTTGCCTAGCATGTGTAAGGCTCCAGGTTTTAGCCCCAGCACCACAAATAAGCAAGGCAAACACTCCCCAAAACATTTCAACTGTGTGTAGGTTGAAGTTTACTATTTATGGAAACGCCTTGCGGTGGGAGTAAGAGTAATTTGGATTCCAGTGATTTCTTTGTGCGCCTACATGTGCTAGGCACCACGCCAGGTGCTTTTTCTGTTTATTACTGCTGCACCACACCTTCAGAGTGTAGGTGTTATCCTGTCCCATGAGGCTGTGCTATGCTGAGGACAGAGGGCTGGCCAGTTTGCATGGTCAAGATAGGTACCAGGCCATTGACTTGGAGCCCAGCATTGACCTATCTGCAGATTTAGACCTACCTCAAAGGGCTTAAGATTAATATATATGTATATATATATATATATATATATACATATATACATATATATATGCATGCAGTATTTGTTATATATTACATGCGATATATGTATATATAATATGTACATGTATATGGGTGTCCATATATCCTATATATAATGTGATTATATATATATATATATATATATATATATATATATGTATGTGAGTGTGTCATAAGATGGAGACTAACATTCACAGCTTACCAGTTTTTGTTTTTTTTTTGAGACAGGGTTTCATGTAGTGTAGGCTGGCTTTAAATTCACTATGTAGTCAAGGATGATCTTAAATTTCTGATCCTCCTCCTCCTCCTGAGTGCTAGTGTTACAAGTGTACACCATCATGCCCTGTTCTATTTAGTGCTGGAGATCAAACCCACAACTTGGTGCTTGCCTAGCAACTGAACGACATCACCAACCACACATGTATGTATACCACATGCATGCCAGTTGGATCCTCTGGAACTGGTATTACAGATGGTTGTGAGTTATTACGTGAGTCCTGTGAATTGACTCCAGGTCCTCTGCAAGAGCAACAAGTACTCTAATCACTGAGCCATCTCTCCAGACCCCACATTTATTTATTTTAGTCTGTATAAGTGTATAAGAGTGTGCATACTGGGCTGGGTGTGATGGCATGTGCCTTTAATCACAGCACTAGGGAGGCAGAGGCAGGAGGATCTCTGTGAATTCAAGGCCAGCCTGGTCTACTTAGTGAGTTCCAGGACCGCCAGGGTTACATAGAGAGACCCTGCTTCAACAAAACAAAGCAACACAAAATGAGGGTACATGCCATGGTGTGGCTGTGGACATCAGAGGACACCTAGCAGGAGTCAGTTCCCTCTCCACCATGTGCTGAGCCGTCTCGCCCATCCTCACTAAAGCCACGCTGACCTATAAAACTCTGAAATACTGACCTACCAGAAGAGCTCCAGGGAGGCTGCTTCCAGTCTGATGCTGATGTGGTAGTTGGTCCTTTATCTACAGGGAAAGCCAGCAGGGGGGAGGAATGGGATCTAACCTATTTGCCTTCTTGGTCAATCAGCTGCCATCATTTCTTTTGAAGGCTTGATTGAGAGGAGCAGCAGAGGTGCCAGACTTGGAGGAGTGATCCCTTGTGGAGGGAGAGTAACTTCAGTTAGGATGCAGACTGTGCCGGAACCCACCTGTGTGAGCACTGTGAGCCTGCTCTGACAGCTTGAGGCTTTTATCTCCCCCGTCCCCCCCTTTTTTTTTTTTTGCTTGTTTTATCATTTTTGAGAAAGGGTGTCACTATGTAGCCTTGGCTGTCCTGGAATCTCCATGTAGATTAGACTGGCCTCAAACTCCCAGAGATCCACCAGCCTCTGTCTTTGTGTCAAGTGCTGGCATCGAAGGTGTGCACCACCACAGGCCTTTTACTTTTATTCTTGGTGTTCTGTGTACTACATGTGAATGCTGGATCTTGGATCTATGCACATGAGTATTTTGTCTGCATGTATGTATGCGTACCATTTTTGAACCTGGTGCTCAAAGAAGCCAGAGGAGGACATCAGATACCCTGCAACTGGAGTTACTGATGGATGTGAGCTGTCATGTGGGTGCTGCAAGTCAAACCCTGATCCTTAAGCCCCAGAGCCATCTCTCCAGACCCAGCAATTTCACGAGTCTCACAAAAATAACAGAAAACTAAATGTTTACTAACTTGTAAGCTGTCTTTTTGGCAAGCTCACAGGGAAGAGAGACAAGTTTCTGAGCTGTTAGCCTTTCCCATTATTCCCCATTGTCTAGGAAGCTTGGAGCTTTTAGCTCAGCAGGGTCTCAGAGCATATCCTGGTCCACACCAGGCTGGTTGAGGGCATGGTGGGGTAGACCCAGCTGCTAGTGTTGGGTTTGGCTGGCTGTGTCTAACTTCTACTCCATTGTGTTAGTCTCCTTGTTTCCTGTGTTAGCTTAGGCATATTTGTGGTTAGCCTCTGAGGAAGCTTTCAGTGGAGGCCCGTAGGGAAAATTCTGCTACTCTGCTCAGAAGGCAGTGATTTTTATTGGGATGGCTAAACTCTGCACCTATCAATCAATCAATCAATCTATCTATCTATCTATCTATCTATCTATCTATCTATCTAATCTAATCTAATCTATCATCTATTGAGAGACTCTCTATGTAGCTCTGGCTGTCTTGGAACTTGCTGTGTGGACCAGCTATCCTCTAATTCAAAGAGATCTTCCTGCTTTGCCTCCGGAGTCCTGGAGCTGCGGGGATTAAAGGAATGCACCGCCATGCCTGTCTCTTTAGGTTCAACTCTATGTGACCCAAGAGCCATTTCAGTGGCTGAGAAACCTGTCCCGGATTTGAGAAAGCCCCACTTGGAAGCCAGGCTCTCTGATGGCGCTGACCTGCAAGCCTTAGCTGAAGACCTCTGCAGCCTCTAAGGTACGAACATCCTCTTTGGGTAGCACAAAGGGCCATGTTTGGAAATGATGGAGCAGGAAAGGGTAGGAAGAGAATATCCACAGAGGAGGACCAGAGCTGAGGTGGCGCTGGGACTGCGGGGTGGACAAAAATAGGAGGAAAATAGAGCAAAATGGGAAGCTCAGAATAGAAGATATAAAGGAAAGTGCCAACTAGTGAAAATCCTGCAAAAGAACGTGTGTGTGTGTGTGTGTGTGTGTGTGTGTGTGTGTGTGTGTGTGTGTGTGTGTTGGGTGGTGGTGGTGCTGGGGAATGGTTTAGAAAAATAGCAATTAGCACAGCTAAAAATAAAGACCAATTTCGAGACAAAGCCAGATCTAAAGGAGAAATATAAAACTCGCCAGAAAGACAATTCCTTGCAAACCAAATGTTCAAGAAAATAGGGCTAATGACATCCCCCTCCTCCGCTGTTTTGTGGAAGAAATGGGAAACTAGATGAGCGTGGAGCACGGCGCTGGGCAGGTGACAGGCATCAGGATAGGAGCTATGAGCCTGGCGCTGGAACCATCGGGATTCCCGTTGTTGAGCGTAAAGGTCCTCCTGAGACTGCACCCAAGTGTCGTCCAAGTTAAAAATGTACTGGCGCGCTCCGATCCGCGCTGGAACGGCAGAGGCTCGGGCAGCTTTCTCTGAGGTCTGTCTGTTCCACAGCCTCGAAGCCGGGGCACAAGGCGTGGCGTGAACCGGAGTGGGCGCCCACAGCTTGGTCCCGGCTCTGGTGACACCTCTCGGGCACCCGCGGCGTGAGCAGGCCGTGCACCCACGGAGTCGGAGTCGGATAGACCCGGGGGCGATCTGGGAGGTTAGTCGGCTTGGCAGGGACATGGAACGCCGTGCGTCTCCCAGGCCGCGAGGGGAGGGACCGGGATGAGCGCGGGAGCTGAGGGTCACCCGAGGCCACCGCGCCCTGCCCTGCGCGGGTAGCTGGGGGCTGGACTTAGTGCCCACGGGCGCGGGTGGGCAGGCAGAGGGGAGCGCAGCGGAGAGGAGGCGGCGGGCGGGGCCTGGAGGGGCGGCGTCGCGCGGGCTCCTCCTCCTCCTCTTTACCCTCTTCGGGTTCAGCAGCGGTGCCGCCCGGCTGCTCCGTCCTCCGGGCGCCCGCGGCGATGTTCACCCGCGCCGTGAGCCGACTGAGCAGGAAGCGTCCGCCGTCTGGTAAGCGGCTTTGGGCGCTGGGGCGCGGGAAGGGCCGGGTCCAGGGGTCCCTTGGCGCGGCTCCCGGTGCCGCCCGGATAGCAGCCGCGCTCCTCCCGGCTCGCTCTGTCCCAGCCGCAGCGGGAGCGCAGAGCCGGGGAGCCGCCCCGGGAGGAAGTTGGGCTTGAAGCTGGAGCCACAGCAGCTTTTTTTTCTAGAGAAGGTCTGGGAGCCACGGGAGACACAGAACAGCCCCACACTCTGAGGTAGCGTGGGAGCCAGGCTCCCCTCCTGTGTGCAGCCTCCGCCGCGGGCCGAGCGGGGAAAGATGCTCCACCGGACCTCTCATCCCCGGAGCGGCTCGGCCCCGCGGCGCCAAAAAGTGGAGTCCCAAGGTGGCTGCATACCAGGGCGGGGGAGGTACTTGTGTGACACGGCGGAGGAGTCACTTTGTCTTCCCCCCTGGACCAGCCCGACCCACACAGTTTGGGGCAACTTGGCAAGACAAAGAACCCACAGTACAGAAAAGGTGATTCGAATTCTGTCATCCTTTTTGTTCATAATAATACCTAACACTCTTTGATGGCTTATGTTGTGGCCAGGAGCTGCATCGACAACCTCCTCTTGTCTTCACCTTTAAAAAAGCCGCGTCAGAGGGGTGGGGTCCTGAAGCCAGGGTGTTGGGTGACCTGCTCCACTCTTAGTTGGTGGATCTTTCAAACCCAGGTTTGTTTGCTTGGCTTGACTCTGACTCGGAGTTCGCCGGCTTGCTTTCCTGTCGCCCAGAAGAGTCACTACGTGTCAGCCGGTTTCCTCTTTCCACCTAAACATCAACTGTGGTTAAGCGACTGCAATCAGACAGATTGAATCCCATTGCCATCACTCACCAGCTGTGCAACTTCTTTGTGAGGCAACGGGATGTGCAAAGTGTAGCTTTAAGTGCTTAATTGGAGCCTGCCCTCCACCCATCAACTCATGCAAATCATTTTATTAAATATTTAAGACGACCCTACTAACGTCAGATTTCATGGGGTTGTTTGTAAAGAGTTTGCACCGTTGCCTAATATGAATTAAAGTGTTCCATTAATGTTGTCTGTGTGGTCAGATTCCCTTGTGAGGGTTGATGGCTGACACAGTGGTCAGATTCTTGGCACTGGGGTTAAACTCCTAATTCCAACCTTGATTCTGTCATTTGGCTACACTGAATAATGAATGTCCTTGGACCTTTCTATGCCACCGAGCTGCGCTGTTGCTGGCTTAGTGTGGCTTGCAAAAGCCAATTGCTAAATATTCTGGGTGTCTGAGAACTGGTTGCTAAGTCATAGGTGGGCTGCAATTAACTGTGGTGGGACATATACATCAGATCCAGGCTCCATGAACCTCTGTACAGTGGATTTCAGAGAGCTGTGGACTTAACTACATACTTAATTTTTTTAAACTTAAAATTTTAATTTTTAAAAATTTTAGATTATGTTTGTCGTGTGTGTATGTGTGTGTATGTATGTGTGCATATGTGCGCATGCACGTGCCACAGCTTGCATGTGTGTGTATGTGCATGCCACAGCTTACATGTGTGTGTGTATGTGCATGCTACAGCTTGCATATGTGTGTGTGTGTATGTGCATGCCACAGCTTGTGTGTGTGCATGCCACAGCTTGCATGTGGAGGACAGTTGTGGAAATAATTTCTCTCCTACGGTAATCAAACTCAGGTCATCAGGCTTGGATACAAGCACCTTTACCCACCGAGCCATTTTGCTGGCCGGTAACTATGGATTTTAATTCCGATAAATATGTGCTCATGTTACTAATAGCAGGGCCAGCAGTTAAACATGAGAAGCTCCAAATGCAATTCTGGATACATGATAAAGATGGAGGAGTTACTAGCTTCCTTTTCTTTCTCTTTCTTGTTACATAGAGCAGTTGTGAATAGCCCTGCATAGGTTTCTTGTTGCTTTGAATTATATTTGGCCTGAATATAATACAAATAGAACCACTGAATCATGACAGATACATGGATTTTATATGCTTTTGCATATGACCACATTGCATTACCAAACTGAAGGGCAGTTTTAGAAACGTTAGTAGCATGTAGCCATTCCAGGGCAATAGACTTTAACTCTGATGAAGTTTGCCCTCACTGCTGGTGATAAAAAGGCCAGGAGTTAAACAGCAGGGGTCGGTGTCAGATGTCAGGAATGCAAGGAGCCCAGTTTCCTTGAAATCTGTGGGTATACAAGGTCTCCCACCCTTGTGAAAGGACATGAGCCTCTGCCGGTTTGGTCACTTATATCACTGCCCAACAGCAAGAAAAAAAAGGAGCCAAATGAGAGATGGAGGGTGAGGGCTCCTTACAGAGAGAATGGGCAGCAGGCGAGGCACCCACAGGATGGCTAAGGATTTGGGGAAGGGTAGTTTTGATTATTTTTTTCTTGTGGTACTAAGGGCACACCCAAGGCTTTACAGATGTAGGCAAGTGGTCTGCCCCATAGTGATATCCCACATGAACTTTGCTTTTAAAGAGTTGGGTTTTCTCCCCCCCTCCAAATATCCAACCAAAGCTGGATATACCCACCACAAGCCTGGACTAGGAGCTGAGGGCAAGTATGTCTCCCAGTGTATTTTGTGTGTGGCCAAAAGAGCTAAATCTTATCAAAGATGAAATCCAAGAGCTGTAAGCTCCACCCATTTCTGAGGTTGATAGCTGGAGGCCCTTTGTCTCATTTCTCTCAAATGTATCTTGCCTGGGTGGGAGGGGGGAAGTGGAAGGTTGGTAAAAGTCAAACCCCGGTTCAATCTTGGGGACCCAAGGGGAGCAGGAAGAGTCAACTGCATTTTTAGTAAGTACCCCAGTGGTTTTCATGCCAAAGTGTGAGGCGTTCTCAGAGGGTCCTGTCCCCTACCCACAACCCACACTGCTAATAACTGACAAGATCCTACCTCAGAACCGAAGTAAAAGCCATCCGTGCCCTACAGCCAGACAGCTGTGCGGCCTGTCGAAGAAGGTCTCTTTACATTGTCCTATTAAGCCCTGGACATTTCACACTTATTGCTGGGCTTACGCTTGTATTTGAAGGTGACAATCTACACAGAAATTTACCATATTTGTTTTTAACTACTTGACAGCAGAGCGTCTTGGTGTTTGGGCAAACTTGCATCTGTAGAAACTTGTGGGCTGGGCCTTGGGGCTGGGAGAGAGCAAGGCTAGCCTGCAAGCATGGAAAGGACAAGATAAGACAGCTTTTGCCCAGATGACATCAGTTCAGCCTACTTGGGTCCCACCAAGAGCAGCCGGCAGACAGAATGGGCAGGCAGGAGGTGCAATGTGGCTTCAGTAGCAGCTGGGCACCCATAATGTGTTTGTCTTCCTTTCCTCAGAACAGGAGACTTAGAGGCCCACGAAGGGTCTGGACCAGCTATTTCCTAGAGCTTTCATGGGGAACCACACACTTCTCTCCCTGGGCTGAGCGATCCCCTCGGCTCCCTCATGCTGGGTTCTAAGAACTTGTTGTTTATACTGTACTAAATATATTCTAGTCACTTCTGCTTCCCCCAGATAGCTAGCTGTCCCCTGCAGCAGCAGCCTTGGGTTGATGGGGTGGGGTGGGGGTGGGGGCTCAGGCAGGCAATAACAGCAGCCCCTTGATAAGGGCTGTCAGGAGGTGCCCACTATGGTAAACTGTCCCCACAGATTTCCGGGGACAAATGTCTCTTTGGCTTTGGCTCCCATCTGTGGAAGGCCATGCCTAGTGCCCGGGGTTGCCTCCACCCGGTCTGTCCTTGTCAACCCATTCTCCTGCCCCTCACTCTCACTCTGCCTCCCCAAGCCTGACTGGTCCTCAGCCCGGACAGTAGCCTGTCTCAGGGGAGGGGACCACTGCAAGGCTCCTCATTTCCAAAGAAGCAGACAAGTCAACCTGCCTTGGACCCTAGTCCAGGGCATCTGCACGCATATCTCAGTCAGCTCGTTAAATATACCGTGAGCAAGTACGGAGGTGCTGGCCTCTCCCCGTCTCCTTCCTTCCCATCTGGGAATTCCTGGTTTTATTTTCTCATTTCATAGTGAATCCGTGATTAAAAGTCAGAGCTTCCCCGTGCTGCATCTTTCACTCCCGGCTTCTTCAGCCACTCCTTCTGAAATAGAACCTGACCTCCTCTTGCTTGCTTCTTTGTAGTAAGTTATTTCATTCACTGCTGTGCGCCTCATTCTGTTCTGGGCTGCCGTGCATTCCAGCGATTGGCATGTGTCTGAGCAGACCCTTTCAGTGCCTATGACCCCTCGGTCAGATTATAAACAATATGCAGGAGTCCAGACGAGGGTTGGCCGGAGGTGTGGACCGGAGCCCGGAGAGAGCACGGTAGTGACATTCAACATTGTTGTTTATTCAACGTTAGGACCACGCTCCATCCCCAGAGCCCTGAGGGTGGCGTGTGTTTGTAATCCCAGCACTGCAGAGGAGTCACGTGGATCCCAGGAACTCACAGGCCTTCCAGAGCCTCCGGTTCAAAAGGCAAGGTGGACAGAGCCTGAGCACAGGCCGAGTCTTCACCTGTGCTCATGCACATGCACCAGCACACAGGAACAGACACACATGTACACCAGCACAGGCAAGAACAGACACACATGTACACCAGCATACATGTATACCAGCACATACAGGAGCAGACACACATGTACACCAGCATACATGTACATCAGCACACAAAGGAACAGATGCACATGTTCACCAGCACACACAGGAACAGACACACATGTTCACTAGCATACACAGGAACAGACACACATGTACACCAGCACATATGTACACCAGAACACGTATACACCAGCACACACAGGAACAGACACACATGTACACCAGCATACATGTCTACAAGTCCACACAGAAAGAGACACATGTGTACACCAGCATACATGTACACCAGCACACACAGGAATAGGCATACATGTACACTAAGACACATATACACCAGTACACATGTATACCAACATACACAGGAACCAGCACACATGTACACCATGAC